GGAGGAGCGAGCGCGCGCCCCTTCCAGCTGCAGCGCGGCCCACCGGCACAGCTGCGCGAGCCGGCGCTCCAGGGACCGGACGCCGCTCTCCATGGTCCACCTGCGCCGCAGCCGTCCGCGAGAGGGGGGGGAAGACGTGGAGGGCATTCGCTTCGAAGACTTTCAAACCCAGACCTCCTCGCATTGTGAAAAAATCACGACGGAAGGTTTCCGCTATTTTCGGCCTCTGGGGGCCCTTACCGGGCCTCGGGACCGTCAAAAAACGACTCAGGACTAGAAACCAGTCCCGGGGAAGGGGTCCAGACTTCTAGGGGTCGAAGTTGGGAAAAAATCACGACGTCGGGGGTCTGAGAACGCTTCCGTCGGTTCTCCGGGGTCTTCCAGCCTCGCGGGGAGCCCTCCAGCAGCTGCTCGCCGAGAGCGCTCTGGGGGTGCCCGGGTCGTCCCGAGCGGCCGCAAGAAAGGCGAGAGCTGGGGCCCGAACGCCCAGGGCGTGGAGAAGGGAGGGGGAGGAGGAGGGGGAGGGGGAGGGGGATGGGGAGAGGGGGAGGGGGCGGCGGAGGAGGAGGAGGAGGGGAGGAGGAGGAGGAGGAGGAGGAGGAGGAGGAGGAGGAAAGGGAGGAGGAGGAGGAGGAGGGGGAGGAGGAGGAGGAGGGAGGAGGAGGAGGAGGAGGGAGGAGGAGGAGGGAGGAGGAGGAGGAGGAGGAAGGGGAGAAGGGGAGAAGGGGAGAAGGGGAAGGGGGGCGAGGCCCAAAGTTCGGCAGACGCAGAGGGGGCATCTCAAACGGGCGGGCATCCTGCGGAGTCGTCCTGGGCGGTCGGAGCCCCCGGGACGCATGCGGGGTTCCCGCCCGGGCGGTCCCCCCTCTCCGCACGCGGTCCGCCCGGGCGGTCCACCCGGGCTTTTCCGGGGGGCACTCCACCGCGAAGACCTGCTTCCACAGGCCAAAGCGGCGACCTGGACTGAGGGTGGCACCCCCACGAGTGAGGAGCGCACAACCGCGCAGTGCTCCAGCCATCGGCACCGAGGCACGCCAGAAGCACGAGGGAAGACGCCTCACGCGTGGGACCAGGCTGCGGTGGCCAACCACACGGAGCCAGGACACCGAGCGCGTGCAACTCGCCGTGCGGAGAAGCACCCCCGAGACACTGGTGGTCAGGGCTGGTGAGCTGCTGGCCTCACAACGTGGAGGGAGGCGGACAAGAGGGAAAAAGACGGGGGGAGGGGCGGGGAAGTGGGGGCCCCCCCTCATCGGATGGCATCGCCACAAGAAAGCCCCCCCGGGGCAAGCACAACGAGGGGGGGGCCGCGCGGCCAGACCAGGCTGCCAGCTGGGTGAGCAACACCACCCGAGGATACACCAACACGGGTAGCACGAGACTGCGCGACAGGAGAGGTGCGCAGGAAGTGAGCGTTTCTTATTCGGCGTTTCGAGATTGGGCGGAGGCTCCGGACCTCTGCTTAGTGCGACTGTTTGCTAGAGTGCGGCCTCCGGGGTAGACTCCACCCGCTCGAAACAGGTGCCAAAAACAGCCAAAATCCACTCCGAGGGTCCGTAGGGGGGGGGGGAGGCGGGGGGTGCGAGGGCCCGCGCCGATCGGCAAGACACGGAATACAAAACGATCACGAACCAGAGCGTCCAGAGAGGCGAGGGCCTCCAGGCGTCCCGGAGCGAGCGGGCCGGGGAGGAACCCGTCAGGTCCCGATCCCGAAGGGCGGGAGGCCAGGAGCGGCCTGCCTTCCTGCGAAGCGCGAGGAGCAGCGTCGCCGAGTGCAGAGCGAGCGGGGCCAGCGGCAGGCTCCTCTCTCCTCCTCGATCCTCCTCCTCCTCGATCCTCCTCGGACTCAGCGGGGTTGCCTGGCGCAGAGGGCCTGGGCCTCGTGACTCCTGCGCCACCCAAGATCGAGCTCCTCAGCGGGCAAGACACTTGGAGCTGCGGCCGCTTTGGGTGCCTCCCCCTCGCGACAACGATCCATGCCCACCTACCGAATTTAGAAACCTTCAAAGTGCATACTCCAGCCAACCCTTTGACGCGACCGTGCGAGCTATAGCATTTGCACAGCATGCAAATCAAAATGGTCGCTCCGTCACCACTGCACATTCAAGGGCAATACACTGGTGGTTTCGACTGGCGATTCCTTCGAGGGGAGGTCTTTTTTTGCCCAGGGCTCCCCGACCGAGGCGGACGCTCGGACCACGAGGCCCTGCGCACTCTAAGGAACGAAAAAACAGATCCAGAAAATGCCCAAATGTCGTCATCATCAGCACCATCATCATCATCATCATCATCATCATCATCATCATCATCATCATCATCATCATCATCATCATCATCAGCATCAGCATCAGCATCAGCATCAGCAGCAGCAGCAGCAGCATCATCATCATCATCATCATCATCATCAGCAGCATCAGCATCAGCATCAGCATCAGCATCAGCATCATCATCATCATCATCATCATCATCATCATCATCATCATCGTAATCGTCAGCACCTTCATCATCATCATCATCCCCATCATCATCCTCATTTTCCTCCTCCTCCTCCTCATCATCATCAACATCATCATCATCGCCATTGTCCTCCTCATCCTCATCATCCTCCTCATCATCATGATCATGACCATCATCGTCGTCGCCATCGTCATCACACTCGTCATCATCCTCACAATCAGCATCATCATGTGCATCCTCATCGTCAGCACCATCATCATCCGCATCTATCACAATCATCACCATGACCATACGGTGTCATAATCATCGTCGTCGTGATCGTCATCACAATCGTCATCGTCATCATAATGATCACCATCATCGTCATCACCACCACCACACACATCATCATCAACATCATCATCATCAACATCATCATCATCATCAACAGCATCATCATGTTCCGTAACGTCGTCGTCATCGATATCGTCGTCATCATCATTACCAGCATCATCATCATCGTCATCCTCATCATCGTCATACTCGCCATCATCATCATCATCATCATCATCATCATCACCATCATCATCATCATCATCATCGGCATCATCATCATCATCATCCTCATCCTCATCCGCATCCGCATCCTCATCCTCATCCTCATCCTCATCAGCAGCATCACCAGTATCGTCATTATAATAATCATCGTCGTCATTAACACCATCATCACCATCGTCACCATCGTCACCACCACCACCATCATCATCATCATCATCATCAGCATCAGCATCAGCATCATCATCATCATCATCATCATCATCACCATCACCATCACCATCACCATCACCATCACCATCACCATCACCATCACCATCGTCACCATCATCATCACAATCAACATCAACATCAACACACTGTTCCCTCAAACGGCCACACTTTCCCCCCGGGCGCTCGAGGAGCTTGAAAAAAGCCGCGCCACTTGCTGATCAGGTCCCGGATCGCCGCAGGCGTCACGATGAGCAGGGGCTCCTGGAACCACGGCCGTGCCATGCGTGCAAGCCACCCAGAGCAGCTTGCATTCTCGCACCTTCTCCTCCTCCTCCTCCTCCTCCTCCTCTTCCTCCTCCTCCTCCTCCTCCTCCTCCTCCTCCTCCTCGGGAAGCGAATCGGTGAAGAGGAGAGGTCCGAGATCTATACGAAGTCAGCCCACCTGAAGAACATGACGCTGCGAGAGGTCGAGGCCTACCTCAACAAGATCGAGAGGCACTACACCATTGCGCAGGCCAGGGGCATCACGATCCAGCGCCAGGACTTTGTGAGGTGGGCGAAGCGAATGTGGAGCACGACCCCAGGAGCGCTACATCGGCATGTCAAAGACAGATCGGCTCCAGAGGAGGACATAACGATAATACGCACGGCAGTTGAGCAGTCAGGGACCGACGGTATGACAGCACGGCAGATTGCAGATCCTGACACGGTGACGGAACAGAAGGCGGACTTCTGGGCTGGTATTTGGACGGACCCTGTGGACACTAGGGAGCAGCTCAAGAAGGCTCTGCATGAGTTGGCGCAGGAGGCAAAGGAGGAGCAACTCCCACAGCTCACAGTGGAGGAGCTAGACCAGGTGATCAACAAGATGAGTGACTCGAAGGCGATGGGGTTCGATGCGCTGGGTCCTGGCACCATCAGACGGCTGCCAACTCCAGCTCGGGCTCAACTGTGCAAGCTCATTCAGTATGCAGAGAAGCATTGTATTTGGCCGAGACAATGTTCAGTGACGAAGTGTGCGTTGGTGCCGAAGCCCGAGGGAGGCGACAGAGTGTTGGGCATGATTGCGGTATTGCCGAAGATTTGGAGTAAGGCACGTGCTTCTCTGAGCGAGTCCTTGTCGCAAGAGTTGTCAGATCACTGGGATACCGCTATTCGAGGCTCCTCTGCGTTGCGTGCAGGTTTAGTGAGGGATTGCATGGATGAAGCTGGGGCTGCGATGGGAGTTAGTTCACTCACTTTGTTGCTTGACTTAGAGAAGTTCTACGAATCGGTCTCGTTGGTTTCATTGTTGCGAATTGCGCGCAGGATGGGTTACCCAGCAGCCTTGATGTCGTTGGAGGTCCAACTGTTCTTGGCACCGCGGTATCTGCAACAGCGTTCGGTGTTGAGCAAAGTGATTTTGCCTTCTCGTTCCTTGGTTGCGGGATCTCCTCGGGGCGTGGGCCTGGCGAAGCTGTTTCTGCACCCGATTCTGGATATGGTGCATCGGAGATCACCTGCTGCGGGACTCTGGACCTTTGCGGATGATACCACGGCGCGGTGCGAAGGTAGTCGAGCCTCGGTTGGGGAAGCCATGGTCGCAACTGCTATGGACCTGAAGGCGGGTCTGGAGGATCAACGTATGGTCATTTCGCCCAAGACGGTGCTGATTGGCTCAAACCCCGCCATCACGACCAGAGTTGCGAGACAGCTGCGAGTGCGAGGACTACCAATGTCAGCAGTCACGGACGCTGTGGACTTGGGAATGGATACGACGGCAGGCCGTAAGAGATCTGTACGCAAGCTCAGAACCAGAGTGAAGGGTGCGTTCAAGAGAGCCGCGAGAATCAGACGCTTGCGGCGCATTGGAGCTTTATCAAGAGTGGCCCGCTCGTTGTGGAGTACTGGAGCAGTTCCGCAGGCGCTGAATGGACATCAGGTGGCGGGACTGAGCAAACAATTGGTGCTTCAGTTACGGAGACAAGCTGGATGTATGATGGGTGGTGCTGCAAAAGGACGGTGCCTCACGACGACGATTGGATGTGACGGAACAGTGGAGGACCCCGCAGTGTACGTGCCAATGCAGGTACTGAAGGAGTGGATCACTATGTGGCAGAGGAACCCACAGATACATGGACGCGTTGTGGCAGCCTGGAAGTGCATTCGAGACCGACTCAGACGTGCAAGAGCGAGGCGATGGAGTGCAATTCGAGGCCCGCTCTCGGTGTTGATCGCCACATTAATGGACATTGGATGGGACCCAGTGACAGCCACAGCATGGACGCGACCGACGGAGTGTGACGACGACCCAGTGGATCAGTGGGATATATCTGCAGCTGGAGGTGATGGGTTTACGCAGACGGGACGTTTCCAGGAATTGTTCGATGATGCTGAGGCGGACATTCGTGGATTTCTTTGGAGAGCTGCCACCAAACACGTTGCAGGTCAAGACTTAGCAGGTGGTGGCGATATGTACCAGATTGTGCGAGAGCAGAGGAGGCTAGAACGTTCTAATCAGATGGAGCTAGTGGCGACGAACGTCACGGTGGTCGCGGCTGGCCAGTGGAACAAGGAGAGGCTGATCGCAGAGGGCTACCAGGTCGACCCGATGTGTGCCCGCTGCGGCACATGCCCTGAGTCTCTCTTCCACCGCATCTGGCAGTGTGAGAGGAACGAGGATCCTGAGGATTTCTCCTGTACGCAGTATTTGCTTCCTCAGGCGTTCGCTAGGCATGAGTCTGAACCTAGTCGTTGGCTTCGGGGCCTCCCTCCTTCCTACCTCACTCACCCCCGCTTCGATGAGGAGGTGATTCGAGGACTCGAGGAGAGGTTTGGGAGCCCCGAGGATTTTCTGATGTGCCGCCAAGGGGACGAGCTCCACATCTTTGGGGACGGCTCTGGTGGCAAGTTTTCCGATGACCCCCGAAGGCGACGATGCGGCGCAGCGATCACGGCGTTGCGACCGTCGACCGAAGGGGGTTTGAGTTAGGCGCGGCGCTGCGTAGTCTGTTCCCAGGGGGTAAGCAGTCTGTTCCCAGGACGGAAGTTTTCGCTTTTTCCTTGGCACTTGCGGAGGTCCGAGGACCGTTTACGTTTGTGACCGACCACCTGGCGATGTACCGTTCGTGGAAGGACCACATGTTGGTCCCTCGCCCTGGCGGCCAAAATGAGGACCTATGGACCAACGCGCGCTTGTTGTGGGAGACCAGGTCGGACAGAGACATGCTGTCAGTAGTCTGGACACCTTCTCACTTAGAATATCAACCCGAGCTGCTACAGACCCCGCAGGATTTGTTCTTTGCTTGCGGCAATATGACTGCCGACCAGTGGGCGGGGAGGGCGTCGGAGTTGGTGGGGGAGAAGGGGTTATGTGGAGACATGCCTGATACGGATCAGGTTGATGTCTTGGCGGCGATGATCCGCCGCAGAGCTCGCCGTGCGTTGATTCAAGCCTCAGCGGCAGAGCCCCAGCAGAGAGCTGCTCGTCGAGAGGCAATGCCCCGACAGTCCATGTTAGACAGAGTTCTTACGGCGTCGGCCCACCAGTTAAAGAAGTGTGGGACGAAGTGGGTGTGTCTTCGGTGTGATATGGTGGTGGCCGACGCTGCGCTAAGAAGTTTTGCTGCGAGCCCGTGCGACAGCTCCTCCCCCCTGGGAGTGGAGGCCTGCCCGATTGCTCCGACAGCAGTTCGTTCAGCTGCCGCCGCGGTCCATGGGACCCACAGGATGAGTTTCTTCCCGCGGCGGTTTCTTTCGGTTTGTAGTGCCTGCGGCAGGTAGGTACCACACCATCGACCCTCGGGGGCTGGTGGACAGGTGTGAGGGCCCGACCCCGAAAGGTTCGGAAAACCTCAAACGTTTAAGCAAGGGGCTCTTCCCCCGAAGAGAGGGACCCCCGAAGCCTATTTTGGCGGCTATGGCAGAGAGGGAGCACTTGATCCAGTCGTCGAGCGTCGTGTCGTTGGGTGGTGGCTCCCCTCTGCCGCAGGCCTCCTCTCCTCCCCAGCCTTCCAGACGTGGAGGCCCAGGCGGCAATGTTGCTGCAGGAGGCGACGCCCCGCCATCGAGCGGGCGAGGACCCCCGGGGCCCGCCTGGGAGGGACAGGAGATGGAGGAGCAGGAGGGATTCTGACCTCCTTTTCAAGGCCCCCAGGGGCCGAGGACAGTGGTCCGCATGCAGCTAATCCAGCTAATCCTCCTCCTCCTCCTCCTCCTCCTCCTCCTCCTCCTCCTCCTCCTCCTCCTCCTCCTCCTCCTCCTCCTCTCCCCAGGAGTGCGTGAACGGCTCGGCGCCTGCACGCCTCCGAGGAGGCGAGGCGGTGAGGCGGGGAGGAGGCCCCCTCGAAGGAGCAAGCGCCGGGGAAGGGGCACAGAGGGAGACAGAGGAGCAGATGGGGAAAAGGCCGTGACGGAGGATGGGGACGGGGAGGAAAATGGCGGGAGGCGATGAGCACCAAGACGCCGGGGGCGCACTGAGGAACGGAGGAGCACCTTCACAAGACACCACACCCCTCCTCATCGTCCTCGTCCTCGCCCTCGTCCTCCTCCTCCTCCTCCTCCTCCTCGCGATCGCGGCCTCGCGCGTAGCGACGAGGCGGAAGAAGTCCCCAGGCGGCGAGAGCGCGCGCGCGCGACTGGCCCTGCACTACATGGGGCAGGGACGCATACACACAAACACACACACACACACTCACACGTACAAACTCGCACTTCCGATGAAAACGCAGGTCTCGCAACCGCACGCTGAGCCAAGTGCCACCAACAGGCTTGACGGCGCAAAACGCGTTTGCCCAACCACGCCAATGGCTCACTGCCACACGCAAGAACATCGGGAGCAAGACGGGGAGGAAACGCAGACACGCGATCACTCACGCAGGATACGCGCAATACGCTTTCCCGAGCGAAGCCGCGGGTCTCCCAGGCAGCTGTGCAGCGCGCCGCGCCGACGGGCCAGGCGGGGCCGCGTGCACACGGCAGCGCAGCCTGCAGAGCAGCGGAAGACGCGTCACGCGCAGACACGGAACGCACCGCCGACGCAGAACCAGCGAGCACGCGCACGCACGGACGCTCGCGGAGGAGCAAACATCTACCCGCGAGCACCTGCACACAACAGCTTGTGCACACGACCGCACAATTTGTCATCCGCCGCCAGCGTGGAGCATAACCAGGCCAACGATATCTATGGGACGCAGTACGCACGTGCCCACTTTTTCCTAAGACGCCGTGGCGCACTCGCGGGTTGAATGTTACCGAGGCGCGAGATCGACTAATTGCACAAG